TATCATGAAACTAAGAAACAAGCAGCCTGTTTGTCACTCCTTTTTCCAGAACTATACTACGCTTTTGCACCTGGGGACTCGCAAGGAAAGGACCAGGGGAGCCACCTGACCCACCCACATGGGATCAAGACTTTCAGGTCTGAAATCTCCCTGGACTAAGTCCAGCAAGATAACTCTGAGTCACTTCAGCCTTCTGACTGGCAATTAAGGTGAGATTAGACAATACCAGTAGTAGTCAGGGCCCACCATTCCTTCAAAGGCTTACAACTGCCTCCTGCACAGTACTGACCCTGTAGACTGTACATTCCTGGCAGTGTTCACCAAAGAAAGCTGAATTGGCAAATGGTCTCCTCACTTTCAAATTTCATGACCATGTAGAAGGTTAAAACTGAGAGGGTCATAGAGATCATCAGTCTAGCCCTTCCTGCTTCACTGGATAAGGAAACTGAGACCAGAAGTGGTTCCTACTTGCCCAAGGTTACAGCTGAGAAGTCACCAGGATCTCCATTCTGCCTTGGACTCCCAGCCTGGAGCAACTTCCCCTGGATCATGCTGACCCCCTCAGCATTCTCACTGCTTTCTGAAACCTAGGAAACCTGCTGAAGTGACTACTGTTGTCATTGTTTCTGTTTTGTGTGTGTGTGTGTGTGTGTGTGTGTGTGTGTGTGTGTGTGCTAAGAATCAAACCCAGGGCTTCAAGCATGCTAACTACATGTCTACCCTGGCCCTACTACTCTTTTTAAGTGAGTATTTGCCATTAGTTAGCAATATAACCAGCACCATCTTCTGACACTCTCTTCCAGGCACTACCGGAAAAGCTTTCTATAAATTAACTCATTGAAAATCTGATAAAGCAGGTTACTATCATTATCCCCAGTTTGCAAAGAAAACCAAAGGTAGAGAGGTCACACAGCCAGGACAAAGTCAGGGCTACCTGTCCCAGACCGTCTGGCCCCAAAGTCCACACTCCAAGCCACTGTGTTGGAGTTTATGAAATATAACTTATTTAAACTATAAAATGATAGAAGAAAAGCAGTAAGCCTTAGGCACTAAGGGCATAGTCACCAGTGATTGATAGAGAATTTAAGAGCTATACCATGACTTTCACTAAAGTATGCAATATATGTCTTTTTTTAAAAGAATGTCTATGGGTCCAGGACTGATGGGAATATATACAGTAACTTTTTTTTTTTTGAGACAGGGTCTTGCTATGCAGTTCAGGCCAGCCTTGAGTTCACTTTGTAGCCCAGGCTGGCTTCAAACTCACAACAATCCTCCTGCCTCGGCCTCCCAAGTGCTGGGATTACAGGCGTGTACCACCATGCCTGGCTTAACATTTTAAGTGTATATTTTTAAAAAGGCAAAATGACCACGTGACAGCTCCCAGACAAAGCCTGTCCCTGCAGTGCACAGGCTGTTATCTGCCTGCTGGTCTTAGAAGGGCCTCTTTAGGACACAGCACTACAGAGAGCCAAGGTACCACTGCTGGTTCCCACCTGCATCGGCCTCCACTCCTAGGTACACTGTACTCTTCAAAATCAAACCTAAAATTATTCCTAATTGAGGAAGAGTGATACAAGAGCAAGATTAATAAATCTCTCAAGATGAATAAAAATACATTTTTGATAAAAGTGTTCAAGGCCAACATGGCTGGAACAAGCGCCCAGTATTCAATTATACGACCTTTCCACCATCCCTCATACTGAAAATGATGTCAAACCTCATTATCTTGCCTACCCAGGAGAAGAAGTCCAGGAGCCACAACAGTACAAATGAGCAAACTGCAACTGTGCTTGCAATCAAATTTCAAGAGAAAAATAGGAGTCAATTACGATGCACTATCACATAAAACAGTTACGTGACTTAGTTGACCAGCCAGATGTCTTAATGTGGAATATGTAAAAGCCTACTCTGAGAATCTTAGAGATGCTAACAGCTCTAATGCCTGAAAGGCGTTGCCTTGGGCATGAAATCAACAACCGAGAGAATTAAAGCAAAGAGCAATGCCAGGCACACAGTAGGCTCTCAACAAATATTTATTTGTGTTTGAGTTATTTTTTATGTTTTATGTTTTGTATGTTTTTATTGTTTTTTTTTTTCATTACCCAGAGTACTCATACTGAGCTACATCTGCACCCCTTCATTTTTATTTTGAAACAGGGTCTTTCTAAGTCAGGAAGTTTCCCAGGTTGGACTAGAACTTGTGATCCTCCTGCCTCAGCCTCCCAGAGTGCTGGGCTTACTAGTGTTCATCACTGAAACTATCTTCAATAAATATTTGTTAAATGAATGTAAATGATGGAATCTTCATAAAAATAAAAGCACATTATAGACTATTACAGTAACAGAACAGCAATGTAACTCGGCTTTGAGTTTCCAAGAACTGCTTTACAATCCCATAATAACAAAAGAACGAAGGGTGGTGGAGATCGGACAAAATGACAGAGTACCATACAGTCAGGACACAAAGCACTAAGATACAAGAACTAAGCTACATTTTATAAGCGAGAAAAATGCCTCTCAGCCTAGCTTTGCCTGAGCAAGAGATCTGGCCTCAAGCCCTACAGATTGGCATAATATTTACAGTACAACTCTAACATGGCAAAACTCCCTAAATTTGGTGCTTTTCAAATATAGTACTGTTTTTAATTTAGCCCCCTCACTAGAAGTTGTCCAGCACGGCTCACCTCTTCTTAACGAACCTTATTTAAGGTCACAGGGTGGATGGTGGGGAATATATAGCTACCGTGCTTCCCTAAAAGCAACCCTAACACAAATGCAATTAGACCAAACCCACATAAACCAGATCTGTCATATCAGATCAGTAAATTAAAGCATAATAAAATTATAGGCAGCCTGAGAGTTTGAGAGTAATTTATACTCTATTCAGAACCATCTTAGCCACGTCCCGGTAGGGAAAGGGGTGTCCAACATTTATATCATAAGTATTTTTTGTTGGAGTCAACACTTGGTCGCTGAAGTTCAAGTTAAGATCCAGTAGGGAGGTGACCAGTTTTGCACAGAATGCTTAGCATAAAAGTAACAGTAGAGCCTATTTGCTTTAACACCCTCTTAGAACACATTTCCTCCTCTCTCACACGGTACATTAAAGGTCATATGCCAGAGCTCACCTGAAATTCCTGACCAATTTAAGTCTTAATCACAAGGGTAATTTCTTCTAACAACACAATCAGAAAATATTTCAAACTCTTCAAATCGTTCATGGAATTTAGAAGGAAAAAAAAAGCCTGAAAACCAAGAAGGGCTCTGGGTGCAATTCCGTAGAACCTTACCAATTACTGTTACCCACTGCTATTTTCTCCTTTACCTTTAAGTATTTCTTAATGCCTAAAGGACAGCGGCACTTCACAGCAAAGCCTAATGAAACATCTGTTACATAACCTGCCCTTGATTGGCCAGATTATGTGCTTTTGATAAGAAAGAAAACAGTCAAAAGCAGAACAAACACTGATTCTCTGTTCTCCACTCTCCCCTTAGCCAGGACACTCCATCTGAGTCACACACCCAACAGCTAGCTCTGCGCCTCAGTTTCCCCAACCTCTGTCAGGTGTGATGTTAACCATGGTCCTATTTAATCGAAATTAATGAGCACACATTATCATATATAAAGCCCATCTCTGAATACTACACTTAAGCACTATGTTGCATTAAAAATTCCAGAGACCTTTACAGCATTCCTTCCTTTTCCTCCAAACACTCCAAAGAGGTTAGCGTGGCCATTTATCAAGATTAGGCAAATACCTATTTGCATTAACCTTTCCATTAAAAACCCAGGACACAGAGAGGGAATCTTTCCTGGTGGAATAATCTCTCTGCTTGAATGGTCATGTGCAAAGTGGATGTGACAGGGACAGAATCTGACAGCGGCCAGTCTGATTTGTTTCTGCTCTGAAAACAGGATTGTGCTGACCTCGACAGCTTCAGGGCCTAGGAACACCAGAGAACAGAACTGCAGAAAACCGAGGGCCGTAAGGGAACTCAAAGGATCGGCTCTTCATAAACAGCGAACTTGTTTTTCTATTCCTTTGCCCAAGCAGCGTGGTCTAGGGGTAAGATTCCAAAACCCTAGTCTGTGGAGACTGAAAGTCAGGCGCGGGTCTGGGGAGGGAGAAGCTGGACAGATGTCGCCTCTTCTTCTGCCAGCCCAGCTGTAGTCAAAGTGGGGAATCTGTGGGCCCCTAAAGTGGACTCTCTTGGAAATCCAGGTGGTGTCCGGGAGAGTGGAGCTGGGTTTCCTGGGCGGCTTGAGCACCAATTCCACACAGTCCTGCACAGGCAAGTATTTCTCCCCACCCAGGCTAGGCCAGTCACTATGACCTTTAGGAAGCCCGGTTAGGGTACCGCCATCCACATCCACACATCCCAAGGGAAAACAAATCCATAAAAAAGCGCAACGAGCGCCACCGAATTCTGATGCCCCTCCTAACCGAAAGGTCCACAAATGCTTTTTTAAACACAGCAAATGTTTCCACACGAAATGAGTGTCAGTGCTCCCGTCCTGAGCCTACACGCTCTTGGTCTGCACTCTGGGATCGCTCGGAGCACCCAACACCCCAGAGCACAGGCACCGCTGGAAAGGTGGGACCCCAGCTTTCAGGGCTCTCCCTTCGCCACAGGCGTGCCCTGTATTTCCGGGGCTCCCCTTAGGACTCGGGTGGAGCCCCCAGCCTCCGTCCCCAAGCGCAGCCGACGCGGACCACAGGGGTCGCCTCCGCCGTCGCAGCCTGCGCGCTGCGCTCCGCAGCTGCCGCGGCGCGTGGCTGCACAGCCCGCTGCACTTGTTGCGCCCTCGAGGGCCGAGAGGCGGCGCCCACTCCTCCGGCCGCCCAGCCCACGGCGGCGCCCCTTCCCCACCTCCGCCGCGGACCCCGGTATGCTCGGGGACCTGGAGAAAGTTTGCGCCCTCCGGACTCAGGTGGGCAAACTTCTCCGCCCGGGGCTGCAGCGGTCGCCGAGGATGCGCCCCGAGAGCCCTTTACCTGGAGCGGGAGCCCCGCGGCGTCCGGAGCCCAGGCGAGGCGCTGCTCCCCCGC